CCAGACCAGGCGCCACGCTGGCCAACCGGATGATCTATCCGGGCAGTGTTTCCTACACTGATCCGACAAGCCTTCATCAGCTTTTGTTATCCTCACCCAACGCAGCACAGAGCGAGACCAATGAAGATGATATGCGCCTGGCCAACGGCGTCCTCGGTAGGCATACATCAGTTGACATCCAACGAGCCGGTTTTCCGGCCAGCCCAGTCTTGGGCTCCGGCAGCGCATTCGGCTACAGCACCGGCGCCATAGCAACCGGCAACATGACCTCCGGTGCCATGCAGAATTGCGCCAACGAAGGATGTGGTCAACCGGTGGCCGGGGAGACGAGACTGAACAGACCGTTTGGCGTTAGTTTCGGCAGTTACACAGGCACTTTCCCTCGCCGGCATGTCTCCACCGGCCGTCTCTCCAGCGTCGGTCTGGCCCAGCCTTGTCTGTCCGGTGGGCAGGCCTCGTATCTGCGCGCCTCATCCATTCGACTTTCCACGGCCGGTGTATCCGGTGATGTTATGATCATGAATGGTGGTCTGAGAACGCACAGCCAGAATCACAATGGCCCAAGTCTGTCCAGCATGCTGCCGGGATCAGGAGGACAGGGTAGCTTTGAAGCTGGCGACTGTCCACGTTCGCCGTACCAGCAGAGCCAACAACCATTTAAACAGCATAATTTAAAGACATCTTCTTTCACCTCTCAGCCGAGGCAGTACCATCAGATGCAGAATCAAGGAGTGAACCAGCAGCAGGAGGAGTTGACTGATGTGTTGGCCAGTAATGCTGCTTTGCAGAACGGATCTAATTTCTTAGTTTATGCAGATAAATCACAATTGAGCCTAGCAAAACAAGGCAGGCCGATACTATTGCAGCTGCCCAACTCCCTTTCGAGTACACAGGTACCATAATAAGGTGTTTGAGGCGCATGCATTCTTCCCGTTTTAGCTCTTTTTTTGTAGGCCTTTGATGTGGCTTATTCGTCCCATGGTGCTTAATTTAGTCCCAAAATGAGACCTCCGAGCTAGTATCCTTTTATTTAGAGTCCCTCATTTCTCGATTCTAAGCATCTCTTCCTTTGTCAACTGTATTTGGTAGCTCTTTAAGCAATTTCACACTCCGACTTGAAAAATTGACAGTGATGTCTTATAAAAAGGACAAATGAAGCAGTTCTAATGAGTAGGCTCCAACATTGTTAGTAGACTGTGAAGAATATGAGGTAAGGACTGGTAGTTGAATTCACAACAACAAAATCTGTTAACCTCAGGGTGAGAATATTTTATCAAAAAGCTTTTTATGCTTAAAGCTGCACAACTAACTCATTAGAATGTTGTCAAGTGCTGTGGCAAATACATAATTCCCTTATAGGCTCCAGCCCTGCTCCAGAAGAGGCCTGGCTAGCCATAAACTTTACATCTGCCCTGTGACCTAATGGTATCTGTGTTTATTCGGAGGTGTGGCTAAATTGCAGTCTAATGTGAAATGCCCGGATTCTACTCCTGTCAACGGTGCTGATGAGAAAAAGATGTTGCTTTCACATTTCAGCGAGGGAACTTCAAACATCAGACCTTTAGATCATCTGAAGTGATCTCAAGTGACTCGAGTTCTTACATGAAATGTGTACACCATATCATGTTTAAGGTGATGAAGGATTGGTAATTGAATCACCCCACAATAATAGAAGTAGACCTGAAATTTCCATTTAATTTCACAAATCCTTGTTTTCCAAAAGTTGCTCTCATCTTGGGTGGACTGCAGATCTCATCATCGCCCATAGCGGTACTCGAACCATGAAGTTTCAGAGTACTCTCTCGAAACTTTGGCAGCTACGCCGCAATGCCACGAGTATCTTTTGGCCACAGGGCAGATGTGAATTTCAAGCGAGGCCAGTCATTTTTTCGTATCACAGTGTCTAGACGGATTGTCTATGAAGAACGACGACATTTCGTATTTTCTGTTCGTAAATAGATTTTTGAGACTCGCAATAGGTCAGAAACAAGGCAATGCTAAATTCAAATGAAGCGTCATCTCAAATCATATCATCATGGGAAAATTCCACTACCAGTACTTATTCACCTTAAACAAACTAGGTTGAATACATTTTCGATATTTGATTTACTGGTAGTCTTGAAAGGCTACTTACAATCGAGTTCTTAAAAACAACAGGTTTTTGCTGGTGACTTAGTCAAAAATATTGTTTTGTGGGCTACATTTGAAACTTAAAACGCAAAAAATGGCATTTATCTAAACCCAAATTTAATATAAAAAAGGATTTTGACATGACTCTTATTTCGAAGGTAAAGTTGGCTGGAAGGAATTCGTGATGTGATCTCACCGGAAACCGAATAAGGATAACCGTGTATGGAAGACTGGTGAATTGTCCGAAGAAGTCCTTGGCTCACCGTCCTGCGACCCAAATGAAACTGTGCTAAGCTTTCGTCTGTACTGTGACAGACATCATCAGAGCAAGACTGCATACCTTACGAAATAGAGCAAAAATATAGTAAACCAAGAGCAAAGAAGGCCTGCCGTAACTCTATATACACCTAACACCACGATCTTAATGATCCCCCTTTTGATTTGGTTAGCTACTTCAACCTTACTCTACATGCTTGCAAATGAGTGAAGTTAACTTCACTAACCTAGGTGCGTTCGGTAGCAACTATTCCTTATATAAATAAAATAATGTACGATCGTCTAATGTTCAATCGTGTTCAGCCTTGTGCTATTGTTGTATATTGTGTGTATGTAATGCCCATGTCATGGAAAGTATGGTAGTCCCAACTAGACCCAAGGCTAATCCAGCCTCCTTTTCTTGCTAATTCATTCATTAAGTCTATCCAACAACCACAAAAGGTTCCGACTTAGTTTTCTACACTCGTTCCTCATACTCAGGACGTTGACTGCTTTGCTAATTTTTATAGACTCCCTAAACTTACGCTTTGACGTGAAGTCCCCGTAACCTGCAAAACGTTGCGTTTGGGACCACTCTGTTGAGTACACTGTACTGGCCATTTGTTCAGCGATCTCGGATTTGTGGACCCACAGACCTTTACAAGCGCTTTTGTGTTCGCATAGTCTCTTATGCTTGGGTTGACAGGTCTCCACCACATATACCTTACCACATGAGCACGAAACTTTGTATGAGCATGATCTAGAAAGAGGGACTGAATATTCTCTAACGAAAGAAGTACTTAAGACAGGGTCAATTTGTCTCTATGCATTGTTTTGTGCAAGCAAAATCATGAACAGAGTAGAATTGTCCAGTCTTCTATCCCGCGCTTGATAGCAAATTTCCCTAATCTTGTTAACTACAGTTGATATATAATTGTCTACTACTCTTAATAGGCAATTGCTTTGAAACAGTATATCCCCCAATCTACCAATCGCCTATAATTTGCATCTGCTAGACGCAGACCCCTTATTATAATGGGCTTAATAACTCGTATTTTTGCTCTATATGTATAAAGAAAAACTCGCTTTATTGAGCTTGCTATATATGTTTATACCTGACTTCTTAAATTCTTTGCTCACTAATACATCCGAAAACGACAATTTATTTTTCTTTTATAACTCCATCGAAAACTTAGTATTTGCATCTATTCTATTTATTAGCTCAAGAAATTCCCCAAAACTATATTTGCCGTGTTGCCACATAGCAAAGTAATCGCCCATACAACGAGCTAATCATTTGGGAACTAGAAGTGCCTCTTGAAACATACGAACTTCTAGAGGGTAGGAAATGTATGGAGGGGCCAGGAAAAACACGGAATGATAGCATAACCGTCTCGACAGAAAGTTGGTCAAGGGATTGACTTCACTTGTCTCTTTGTAGCTTGGTTGCTGAGAATGGCAAGACTTACTGATGATGCCGACTACGATGCCGGTGAAACGTCTGGGAATGTACAAAGTTCACGGTCCAATTCTGGAAGTGATCATGCATACTATGGACTCCGGACAAGGTGA